GCAAAGACATAGCTCTCAGCTCAGTTGCTGCTGATCTTGTTGATCTTGCAGAGGTATGAGCAGAGCAGTAATAGCAACGGTGGCAGTAAATTGGAGCTCAACGTCTGTTCAGAGCAACTTATTACTTTGGGTATTTCTTTTTTTTTATGCGTCGTCCTTCTCAAGCAGTGGTTTTTGGGCTTCGGCTTTGTAAGAAGTGGCAAAGAAATGAGCCATTCATGGTTATTTGGTAGATTTTTGTAAATTTCTTGGAAATCCTTTCAAGTGCATACACGAGTACATACACTCTCTCTCCGGTGAGACTTTCCCATGGCTCATGTGATGCTTCAGAGATCGGTCGGTTGTTTAGTCGGTCCGTCCGTTGGCTGCTTTCTTGTTTGTGTGCCTTTCAAACGCGGAGGTAGAGCTAGCTATATATATATATACTCGTATAGCGGATAATAGGGAGCAAGGGCAACAAGAATAATAACAACAATAGACAAGCAATATCAACACTTATTTGAAAGAAAATCATTGTCTTCTGTGGGTTTGAACGCTGCTTTGGTCGGTCGGTCGGTTGGTGGAGAGCGGCGCGGGTGCTGCCATGAATAACAGGGAGTGGCAAGGAGCACAAGCGCAGCCACTGGTAGATACCACACCATGTATGTACCTGTTGTCTCGGTGCAGTATTGTGCGTTACGCTGCCGACCGTCGCAGATCCCGCCAATTTATGAATGAGTTTGATTAAATGCCACACAAAAAAAGGGAAAGGAAAAGAAATTGGGGGCAACAACAATCAGCGACGTCAGTCAATCTAATGGCGTACAAGTAGAAATCCTTTCAGGCTTATCTCTAAGCGCGTTGTTTGTGTACATTTGTAAGGCATATTTATTTTGCTCTATTTGGTATTTTCCTATCCAAATCCTCATATCCTTTAAATACGTTGGCAATCAAACGCACACATACTAACTTACCAACATAAGCCATTTGATTTAATCGCCCTGCGGTTGAGATCAAGGCTACTCCTTGACATAGTCGTTTCGGCTGCCTTCGTGCGAGAAATCTTGCTAATCGTAAATCCGCTGATAAATGTGTCACTTAATGTTTGGTCGTTGGCGGGATTCCTGGAATTGTTATCCAATTGGGCTGTTTGTGTGTGTGTGTGTGTGTGTGTGTGTGTGTGTGTATGTGTGGTTGTTTGGGATTTGGTGTGAATGGGATTTCTTCGTTGACATTATTAATGAATTCCAAGTGAGGTTTATTTGTACGTTTTGTACTTGAAAGATGAGGCAATGCTGCTGACTACCACTCCTGTGGACACAAGTGACGAGAAGACGCGTTGAGCAATCAAGTGCTTGTGACAAATACGTAAATATTTGCTCCTCTGAAATTTTGTGTAAGTCATACAGGGTGAGATATTGTATTTTTGTCCGGTTTTTCGGCTTATCTGCTCGAGAATTTAAAGAAGAGCCAAGAGAACTTAGCGCTTTGAGCTCGTGTCTTCTTCCAATTCGAAATTCTATAGATAGAGCATCTATTACATGAGCCTCTCATGGATTCAATATTTATTAAGTTTAAAATCCTTAATTTTTACAATTTCAATACATAAACATTAAATATCTAACCTCTTTTATGAAAGTCCGGGTGGACGGTAAAAGGATGAAAAATAGAAAAAATTCAGCCTGCATGACGAAACGTTTTCCAAAGAGCTAAGAACAAACGCGATCGCAGGAAAAAGGAGTTGTGTGTGGTACACGAGTCATCTCATCAAGCTTCTTGGCTGTTTCCGAATCCAAAATCTCGATGATAGTTTGGCCTTAACAACCGTGTAATTAGGTCTGTCATTGAACCAATGGTCGGTGCAAGCGCGTCTGGGGGTCTACGTCATGCATAAGAGACAAATATAGGAATTTTTGTGAATGGTAATGAAATATTCTCTCATCTGATGAATTGGTATTAGGAATTTTCGAGATCGGTTGGGCGCAAAATGTTTGAAGATTTGCTAGTGAATAGTGAACGCGATGGAATAGTGAGTTCTACAAGTTATATGGTTTAGGTGATAAAGAGGCAACACCCCTGCTAGTTCATGTCGTTCGGTTGGACGGCAGTACATGTTGGTGGAATAAGAAAAAGTGGAGGGCCTCTTCTACGTTTGGAAGATTAGTCGGAGATAGTTCTGTCTCGCTTTGGTGTGGCGCTCAGGCAGCATTAGAGATCCCCAGAGGCGATCACTGAAATCTCTTACCAGGCTTATTAATTTACCTGTTAACTTTCAATAAAAATTTTATTTTCGAATAGACAACCTCATTTGAGCTTTTTGGAAAGGTCTGACTTTAGACTACATTTGAAATTCAATTCAGCTTTTTCAATATTCGTCTTCAGATGTTTCGGTAACTTTTATTAAAGATTTTAAGGATAACCTGGGGAACTAGTTTTTAAATCTAACAGACTTTGATAATAGAGTAAGATTCTTCATTGATTATCGACCTGAATTAAGCTTAACGAACAGAAGAAACGTGTGTAGTAGTTGACAGTTCTATTTATTAGTTCTTATCGAGAGCTCGACCTGAGATGTGTTTTTGATATATGTGTATTTATAGTTGGTGTCTAGTAAGCGCTGAAGCGATTTTCAGCCGAGCTCCTCTACTAAATAGTGGTTTTGCGTATTGAAGTTTTTCAACAAATGGAGGGACCTACAGTTTAAACTAAGCCGCCTCCGAAAGGCTGATGGTTTATTTTGAGAAGTCTTTATTATATCTCAGAAATACACTCGGAGAGGTGGACATTCCCTGCCGAGTTGCGACCGTAATTAGAAAATTTAATTTAATTTTGTATTTAAATTAATTTTCCATAACTTTTGGATATTGTTTCGACACCACTATTTAAACCCGAGCCTTTCTAATGGCAATTCGAAGTGCTAACGCTCGGCCGCCGAAATGGGGTCTGAAATATCTCAACAGCTGAGTGGTTAGTAGTGCCTATTAATATTCGGAAGGCCAGAATTCGAGTTTGATCAACATCGAAATTTATAGACAATGAATTTAAATAAAAATATTAAGTTAATTTTCGTAGTTAATTTTCGTAATTATAGGCGCCCCCAGCTGGGAATGTCAAACCCTCCGAGTCTACTCCTATTTCTGATATGAATTAAAGGCTCCTTATAATAACCCTGTAGATCCTTCTATTTTGAACAACAACAAAACGCATATCAGATATCAGAGGAGCAGCTCGGCCGAAAATCGCTTCAAAGGTTCTAAAGCGCTAATTATTCATTGAGCCTGTGTGCAACTCACAAGCGCGCCTTTTGGGCTGCCCTCGGTCCTTCAAAACTATCAGAAAGGGTTATAGTCTTTGCTATTCGGTGTATAACGAACTGATTAAAAATTGCCCACTGCAAAGGCGACAAGAGGCGAGATATGGTGTTTGAAAAACTGCTTCTGAAATCTTAGCCCCAATCACTCGTATGTAGCCTCACCCTTTATTTATATTTAATTCACGAAATGGATTAATTTAATGGAGTTCAATAAATTTTGAAATATTCGTGAGTATTAGTTCCTGGAAATATTTTCCGTTAAGAAATATGTACATACATACATATATAAATAAACAAACAGGTGACTTCAGCATGAGAAAGGCGAAAAGCCAACAAATAATAAAATAATAAAAATAAAGTCGGATAACAGCAAATGTGTGGGATAGAAACACAAGTGCCACATACATACATACATGCATATACATATATATGTTATATAAATTTCAATTGACAAATATTGGTCAAATAAAATATATAGACATAACTGTGTGTATAGGTGCTGGGCATAGGGAAAGTAGCCGGCGCGATTGACACACGATACTTTCAATGAAAAATATGAAATAAAACAATCAGGAAGACAGCTAACCACGTATGTACGAGGAAATGCTCTGCATTGTAAATATATTTGGAGTTTTCCAAGTAAACACTTACATGTATGTATGTATGTCTGTAGAACGCCTTGTAGTAGCGCTCCATGCCATTTTCCCACCAGCACTTTGATTGCCAAATGCTTTCTCTATTTAACCACTCTGCTCGACTGGCGAGTGTCACACAGCCGAGCTGAGGGTTTCTTGAGTGCCAGAAGTGCCAGAAGTGCAGAAGTGAAATGGTCAATTAATACTTTAAGTGGCTGCACCGTTGTAATAGTCCATGGTAAGTGAGTATCCTGTTGTGCACTTTACAGTTAGAAGTAGGGGAAAAATGCAAAAATAATAAAAATACTACAAAAAACAAAACAAAAAAGTGGCTGGGCAAACGACAACAATCAGCTGTGCGGGAGGCGAAACTGTAAGAAAAGTCATCAGCAAGCAGTCCGTAGAGCAACTGGTTCTCATGCCAATTATTTATGCTATACTTATGCATATACGTGTACATACAAACATTTGTATGTACCCTTATGTGTGTGCAAGTGTTTGACTTGTACTTTGGCAGGTTGACATTTAAGTCTTTCAACAATTGGCCAACAACAACGAGGGCAAGTTGTGTGTTGTCCTCCTTTGCCGAGCCGGGGCGCAGTCAGTCAGCCAAAGAAGAACTCATATTTCCTTGCTGTAAAATAGCAACAAAAACAATTTTAAGTAGTCCAAAAAAAACAAAGCAAGAAAATAGAACATTTCTAGCAATAAAGTCTCATCTTGTTCTGTTGACAGTGCGTAACTTTGAACGTTCGAAATCCTGGAGCAACACTAACAATTTCTATGAGTGTCAGGCTCTGGGAAAATTTCGGTGCAATCAGCTGTTTGAACCGACACACATAAATATATGGAAAATATTTTCTTTAAGACGTTCCTTTTTTTATTATTTATGAACCAGACCAGACAGTAGATAGTTGTGGGAAGTAAACGCACACCATTACAGTTGGCTTTGCAGGAGACCTGTCACTGCGTCAATGCACTCAAAAAGGAGCAGAAAGCAAAAGAAAGAAAAAGAAAATAAATAATTGAAAACGTTATTGAAAACAAAAAACTGTAATAACGCAAGGACTTACATTAGAAAAGTCATCATCATCAACATCATCATGCTCATCCTCATACCGCTCATCACCTGGTTTTAGAGTTATTGTCATTTACTCGGTTTACACTGATCACCGAAAGTCACACGGTCCGTTCAACGTTGATGTTGATCTTCATGGGTAATCCTCAAGTGCTGAGGGGTGTAGCAGCTCAATGGACATGGCAAACCATTATTGCACAATAGCGCATACACCTGCAATCAGCTGATTGTGTGGATGCCATAGATGGTTGCTTGATTCTCATAATTCTGCCATGATTTCGCTATTTGTTGGTATTTGTTGGTAGACCTGTCGACCTACGTGTGCTGATCTTGCGCTGAAATCTCGGCTTGGTCTATTGTGTCATTTATTCTTTTTTATTTTCGATTTCGATTTAGTCGGATTTTGATGGCGAAAGGCGAATAGGCATGTAGAGAGGGAGCGGCAAACAGCCACGTATTGGTGGTCTGTCAAAAAAAGAAAAAAATCAAAAAAAAAATAAGAAGAAATTAAAAAAACTAGAAAAATAATAAATAAAAAATAAACCAAAAAACAAATATCTAACGAAAAATCTGCAGGAATGTGTACACACTAACAACAACAGCCAGCAACAATACCGACTTCCCTGTTAATGATCATTTTTAATGTTTGAAAGTCCGTGAAAGGAGAATCATTAGCAACTCCACAGTAAGATCCCTGCATTTCATTTCATTCCACTTTGCTTTGCGATTATTATTTGCCACTTTTGAATTATTTTGAATTATTGAGCAGGAAATCAGCACAACAACAATATGCGATCATAGAGGTAAAAGAGGAAAATCGGCTCAAGGATGTTGGAGAAAAGTGCATGTTCGTGGGAGTGGCGGCTTGCCATTGTCGAGTTGTCAGTAAGCAACAAATTATCACAGTGGATTTGTGTAAGGACACTGATTTTTATTATTTTGGGGGAAAATATGAGACAGCAAAAAAGAAAGAAAACTCAAATAAATTGTAAAAAATGGAGGCAAAGGAGGAATTGTGATTTTTAGTTTATAATTCCCAATGTAATATTTATATTATGCCATTTGTGCAAAAAAGGTGTGCAATTAATTGTGAATTGTTGAGGAGTAGTTTGAAGGTAAACGATGATTTAAGGGGCACACCTAGTGGCCTAAAAAAGGTGATTTTTGGGAATTTTTATTAAAAAAAATACTTTATCAATTATTTCAAAATTTTGGGAATATATTTATACATGTTTCAAGAATATACAATGAAATTTTTGAAGAAAAAAATTAAAAATTTTTTAAGTTATAGTCGATCACCAACGACGCGAAAAAGGTGTTTCGCTGCTGCAGTGATTCCGGCCTTCTCCGTGGATGAAATCTAAAAAAAAAATTCTCTACTAGTTAACATTGTCTGTACAATGACCTACGATAAAAAAAATCAAAAACAACAAGTCGAACTTTACCCAAAATTTTGGTCGTTTTTGGCCTGCCAAAATTCGATTTTTTGATCAGATCAAAAATCGATAGGTCATTGTACGGAGAACAATATATAGATTATGTAAAAAAAATTCGATAGTGATCGGATCATTTGTTTTTGAGTAATCACGGCAGCAAATTTGGAAAATGCTGTTTCGAGAAAAACGAGTTTAAAGATGAAATGATAGTTTTCACTCGTAGCTAATGAGACTCTCTAGCTGACGAGCGGCTGCTTTTTAATTGCTATAACTCAAAAACTATTTGAGATATCGATTTGAAATTTTGATATGTTATTTTTGAAGGTGTAATCTTCCGAAATATGAAAAGAGATTTTTTGAAATTTCACACTAGGTGTACCCCTTAAACATTTCTTGGAAAAATCAATACTTTTTGCTATGAATTTTACATTGCCCACTTTTTCACATTAGAATTTTTATTTAATCACATAATTATTAACTAAGGGGTGTTTTTTAAACACTCAAAACTCATAGAATTTTCTGTAATGGTCTTAGAATTTAGCTTTAGGGCGTGCTTTCAAAATGATTTCAGGCAAGCGACCGAGCGGGGGGCTCGAACAAATGGCAGTCGAGAGGTCCAATTTTCAACCAACAGCAACACAAAGAATAGTCTAAGAGTGTTACATATCTAGATCTACACAGGACCACGGCTCGAGGTAATGCGCTCACCAAAAGTTTCCTTCCGTAAATTGATTGTTTCGGCGGCTGTATAGCATATAGCGCCTTCTTTTTGGGAACAAAGGCCGTCAACATCATTATCTTTCGATTGAGGCACGAGAAATTCTCTAATCATTACTCTTGGTATTTCATGATTAGCTGTCACATGCATGTCTTTGAAGAAAAATGTGCCATTTAGTTCTTGGGAATTTAACGGGGTCTCAACGATGTCTTCAAAATAACGAGAGCTTCATCGCTGTACAAAATTTTCTGACGAAAACGAGGATCGGTGGCCATTTCATACTGAGCCCGTTTACCGAAGCACTCAATTCTTATACGAGTTGGATTTTGTAAGCCAGCAAAGCAAGACCTTTTCGCAAAATTTTCCGTGAAATGAATGGGCATAGCTCCGACTGTTCCACGTGATGATGGATGAACTCACATCTAACATAGGAGTCAGCCTTAATAAAAGACTATAAAGCAGGGATGTCTTGGAACGCCCGAAGTCTTTATATATATATATAATTGCCGCTCTCTAACCGCATAAGCGACTTTCGGTCGAGCTCCTCTTCCGATTTGTGGTTTCGCGTTTTGATTTTTTCCAACTAATGGATGGACCTACAGTTTTATTGCTAGTCGGCGGCCGAAGCCTTTATACCTTCAAATAAAATTTTTGAACAAATCGGTTATATGGGAGCAACTCGTCATTCAGGTCATATCGCTATACATTTTACAATTTCACCATAACAATTCTGCAGTCGTGTTGTTGACCACAATGAATCAGCTACTAACCATCCGATTTGTTTACAATTTTATAGGCTGTTAGTTTTTAACAAATTATGACCAGATTAATCCTATATAACGTATCCCCAACCCTATAGCTCCATCATGGTTAACTCATCCACCGTTACAACGCTGAGGCAGAGCTGTATAAGCTCTCGTAGTATTCAAAGAGACCAGCAAAATATTGCACATCAGAACCGAAGCATCCATCCAGTTTTGTAACACGAACAGACCCAGTTATGTAGAGTATGTAAAGGCGTGGTAGTACCAAGAAAAGCCCAATAAAAAAGAACAGACAATAAATAATCTTTCGGCATATCAAGGCAGCATTGAATGTGGTGTCAAAAGAAATATCTATTTTTCTTCCCTAATGTACCTCTAATAAAAATCTTTTGCTTTGCCTTCAGAGAAAGTTTGCCAGCGAGCGATAATTAAACATTCTTCATAGGTACATAGCTCTTGCAGAGAAGTGGACAAGAGCGGATTTATAGTTCGTTTTTTTATAAATTTTCTTTATTTTCAGGGGTAAGAGCAAATCATTTTTTGGATAACAATTTTTATGGCTCGATTTGGTTAAATTTTTACTCGAAGGCATCTTTTTGTCGAAGTAAACTTACAGAGTACTCTTATTTTCGGGAAGAGCTACAGGAACAGGTACGATTACATTGGTGAATTCTTTTGCCTAGATAAACACTTTGTCATATGGAAAGTTAACTACTTTTGGGAAGTTTAAGAGAGTCTTGATATTTATTTTTGATGCTTTGATACTAGTTCCTTGAGCCTCGAAGCTTCTAGACACCTAAAAATGAGTTCTTGATGAGGCCGAATATGTTAAAAAGTCTGTCTCTTGCCTTCCTTCCTTCGCCTCATGTCATCGTTACTGCTGCCCAATGGAGAGTTGATAAAGAAGCGAAGGAAATGGGTCTGGTAGTGAACGCGGGAAAGTCGAAATATCTTCTGTCATGACACAAACCGTCATCACATTTGCGGCTTGGCTCCCACGTCATTGACTGCGGTCATAAGTTTGAAGTCATAGATAACTTTGTCTATCTTGCAACCAGTAGTAACATCAACAACAATGTCAGCCTGGAAATCTATCGCAGAATCACTTTTGCCAAGAGGTGCTCTTTTGGACTGAGTAGGCACTTGAAAAGTAAAGTCCTTTCCCGACGAACAAAAACAAACAAGTCGCTTATCTGATGAGTCGGTATTAGGAGTTTTCGAGAAAAACGTTTTGGGTAAGATTTATGGTCCCCTACGAGTTAGCAATGGCAAATACCGCAGCCGATGGAAGGATGAGCTGTACGAGATATAGAGCAACATTAGCAAAATTCAGCCCATCAAGAAGCAGCGGCTGCGCTGGCTGAAAGCGGAGGAAGAGGGAAACCTCCACTCTGTTGGAAATACCAGATAGAGAAGGGTCTGACTGTACTTGGCAGATGTTCTTGTTGGCCCTGGCACATCTGGCAAGTCCCCTGCAATCAACATAAATCTCAGGCCTCCCAGCCCATTCGAGTTTTGCCTAAAATAGAAAGCCCCAGAAGACATTTTCAGGACTTAGTTGATCCTCTACGCGGAATACTACCGCACACATTCGCCAGGAAAATTGGAAAATATTTTTGGAAAATATTGCATAGTAATAAACCGCGGTAGCCGAGTAGTGGTATCGTACTAACATCCAAAAAGTTATAGAAAATTAAATTAAATAAAAAATTAAGGTAAATTTTCTAATTGCGGTCGCCTCTCGGCAGGGAATTTCCATCCCTCCGAGTGTATTTCGGACATGAAATAAAGGCTCCTCGTAGAAAAAACCATCAGCCTTTCAGAGGCAGCTTAGTATAAACCATAGGCCCCTCCATTTGTTGGAAAAACCTCAAGACGCAATACCACAAATTGAAGGAAGAGCTCGACCGAAAATCGATTCAGAGGTTACAAAGTGTCAAAGATATATATATAATAAACAAGCATCAATTTCATACATACACACATATGTATCTACAAAGCAATATGAGAAAGTTCGTTATTTTTGCGATAAAATTGCCGCCAAAGTCAGTAAAGTCTACACCCTTTCTACAAAAAAAAAGAAAAAAAAGAAGAACAAATGAAAACCAACGTCGCGCTCTATCACCAAAATGCATACAGTTACATATACATATGT